CCAGTGAGAATAGTGCAGTCTTGTGGCTATTCTCACCCGGTGCGCGTTCACCAAATTTTGCGTTCACCCTAAACCACAGAATTCTACACTGTGATAACAGAAAAATTGTAGAATTCTGTGCCGTGAACAAACGTTCCATTACAACTGTAACCTACTAAAAGCGTAAAATTTTGTCTGTGGGCAGTGGAGAGAGAAAGAGAGAGGAGTAGCGCGAGAATTTCCGGGCAAAACAAAATGGCGACCCGCGTAGTTCGGCTCGATTCGAAAAGTTAAATAGCCGTAGCATCTTTGTAGACAACCAAATTAATTTACTTTTTTTGTGTTTTAACATCATTTTTTAACTTTGTTTTGGTCAATTTGATCGTCCACACCGATAGACAGTATTCAGAAAGAGAGAGAGAGAAGAGGGGAGGAGTTGATCTTGCGAGAACTTCCGGGCGGGTGAGAATAGCCACTTTCATATTATATAGATCTATAATTATAGTATGGCCACCTCTAGAATAGTGCAGGCGAGTCTTGTGGCTATTCTCACCCGGTGCGCGTGTCAACAAATTTTGCGTTCACCCTAAACCACAGAATTCTACACTGTGATAAGAGAAAAATTGTAGAATTCTGTGCTGTGAACAAACGTTCCATTACAACTGTACTTGTAGCCTACTAAAAGCGTACAATTTTGTCTGTGGGCAGTGGAGAGTGAGAGAGTGAAAGAGAGAACAAAACAAAATGGCGACCCGCGTAGTTCGGCTCGATTCGAAAAGTTAAATAGCCGTAGCATCTTTGTAGACAACTAAATTAATTTACTTTTTTTGTGTTTTAACATCATTTTTTAACTTTGTTTTGGTCAATTTGATCGTCCACACCGATAGACAGTATTCAGAAAGAGAGAGAGAGAAGAGGGGAGGAGTTGATCTTGCGAGAACTTCCGGGCGGGTGAGAATAGCCACTTTCATATTATATAGATCTATAATTATAGTATGGCCACCTCTAGAATAGTGCAGGCGAGTCTTGTGGCTATTCTCACCCGGTGCGCGTGTCAACAAATTTTGCGTTCACCCTAAACCACAGAATTCTACACTGTGATAAGAGAAAAATTGTAGAATTCTGTGCTGTGAACAAACGTTCCATTACAACTGTACTTGTAGCCTACTAAAAGCGTACAATTTTGTCTGTGGGCAGTGGAGAGTGAGAGAGTGAAAGAGAGAACAAAACAAAATGGCGACCCGCGTAGTTCGGCTCGATTCGAAAAGTTAAATAGCCGTAGCATCTTTGTAGACAACTAAATTAATTTACTTTTTTTGTGTTTTAACATCATTTTTTAACTTTGTTTTGGTCAATTTGATCGTCCACACCGATAGACAGTATTCAGAAAGAAACAGAGAGAGAGAGAAGAGGGGAGGAGTAGATCTTGCGAGAACTTCCGAGCGGGTGAGAATAGCCACTTTCTTATAGTATAGGCCTACCAAAGATTGTTCGTATACAATATGGTTCAAGCGGTCCAAAAAATTGTCCGCAGTAAATATTTATATAAAGAATGCTACAATTCCAAACAGTTTTTCGCTACAGATATGACGTGTTGCCTATGAAGGGTGCTGCTCTTAAACGTAATGTGTTGTGTTCACTCGTGTGCTGTCTAGATCTAGATCTAGATCTACGGAGGGTTATTGATAACGACACATAGAACTATTAGAACTGGCATCTGCGGTGGTCACTGTCACGACCAATAATGTACCGACACTGGCAGGCCCCTTAATGTGTGTGATTCCATAATTTACATGTAATATCCTGTCCTTTAAAAAAAAAAATTACGCACATTTAGGGTTAAAACAGCCAATCTTCTTCGGACAGGTGGACACACGCCCTTATTTGTTAATGTTTGTTGTTTATCATGGGCTGTTCTAATTTTGATTTCATTCTGTTGTGAAACCTTTCTTTTTCACGTTTTTACACTTATCTAAAAATCTCTAGACTAGCTCTTGAAAATTGAAATAGATATAGACCCAAAAATTTGCTCCTGTGTGTGTGTATGTGCGTGTGTGAGTGTGTCTGTGTGTGATAGTAAGTGTGTAAGTGGAGAGTGAGTGTGTGTGTGTGTTTGTTTTTTGGGCTTTATTTCAGCCTTCATTCAGTAACAGTTCGAAGTATACAAAAATACAAACACAGGATCCATTCACTCCAGGGCTCACGAGTCGTTCATCTTTTTCAGTTTCACTCATTCATTCAATTCCCGTGTTCTCTCCCGCGGTTCATCCCCATCCGCATGACTTTCACACCCAACCCCCTCCCTCCAGGCATACACAAAGAAAATTTCACTCATTCCCTTGCACCCTGCGAACCATGGACAATAATATAGGCAAAACACTGCCTAAGCTGCATTATTTTCGTTCGTGAGCTGTGGACCAGGCCAGGGGGGTCGGTGTTGCTGTCGCCTGTGGATACACTCGCACATTCTTCCTTTCACCCGCTCTTTCACTCACACTGTCTCTCCATCCACAGCTCAGCTCGTCATACGTTCAAAAGTTGCCCATTGGTCATGTTTGTTTAGTTAGTGAAACTTAGTGTGTGTATAAGTTTGTGTGTGTACATGTGCATGATGGTGGTGGGTGTGTGGTGGGTTTTACTGAAGGTTGTCTGTAGGCGGGCTTGCCATGCGGTGTTCCTTCCCCCAGACCAGAGGCAGAATGAAATTTGGCGCTGAACTCTCGCAATAAATAGGCAAAACATCACGAGACCGGAAACCGTTCGGAGAAATAAAGATGGGCACTATTTCTCAGAACGTTTGGAGAAATAGTCACTTCCTAAAATTAAAGTTTTGGATAAGGCCTAAATAGTCTGGTCCAAGAGTCTTTTTTGAGGCTTAGTGTTTTCCGAGATTCTCTGTCCAAGTGTATTCTTAAGAGGAGTTAACACTCGCATGCTACTGGCTACTGGATTGCTAACAATAACAACATAAGATAGATACAATGTGGACCCAATGTAGATCTAGTTTTGGAGGCATTCTCCGGTTTGGGCCCCAAGAGTACTGGAATATCGATACTGATTTAAATACTGGGTATCAAGTTTTATTTGAAAGAGAGCTAGAGTAGAGATGTGCTGCTATTTTTCAGTTCAAAATGAGCAGTGAAATTTCACTTGTTTTCAACAAGGGGAGTTTCAGGAGGGCATGTCCCCCTGACCTAATAAAAGTATGGGGGGGGGGAGGGGGTTCAGGTTTAACTGACCATAATTTGATGTTTTGCCATTATTAGCCCTGGTATTTCCTCTGGCTCTCCGCGCGTCAAACGTAGCAGTGGCACATGTTTCCAAACAGAAGTAATAGGTGAAGCCAAAACCCACGCACATATATTGGAAACATTGTCATATGCTCAACAGCACTTGGCGCTCAGAGCATCAGAAGTGTATTTTTACCCTTTTCCTGCTCTTTCGATGCGGAAGTGGTTGTAGTTTCTAAAAACAGTACCCTCGTTGCACGTACTGCGGTAATGGAACAAACCACCACCACCACCCCCTCCTCTGAACTAGAAAAAAGACCATAGGGATTGTATCAAAGGTTGTCAGCGGGAACAGTGCCATGGCCATGTCATATGCTGCGCAGCACGAGTAACAGTTAGTTAACTGTACCCATAACTCAAACCCTTCCCTTATTACCCAGATCCGGGAATTGTGAACAAAACATGCAAATCTGAATACATTATTGAAGATTGTGACTACCAAAAAAAGTTTTTTCGCCACTCTTGGGACAATGGCCCATCGCATGGGTCAGCACAGTCTTTGTCGTCGGTGCATGTATCTGATTCTTCCTTCTAGCTGCTAGCATTGATTGGAGTTTTTTTTTCCATAATTATAAGACATTAACGATGGGATGAAATTGTGTGAAATTCTGCTGTTTTTGTCCTATTCGGTAGTGTGTGTATATAATTGATTTGATTAATGAATATAGGAAAATTGTCAAGTGTCATCAGTGCAGTTGGGATGCGCCCTGTGACTCTAAAAGTCTGTGCTTTTCCTGTGATGAAAAAAAAGATATACCAGTTCTGCTGCTGAACACTGTGACTGATTGCTTTTTCTGAGAAACAGCACACCGAGATACTATTAGAGCATTTCCCTATGTTCATTTGTTTAAGAAAAGTCATAAAGTACATTTAGTTACTCAGTAATAGGACTAGGTTAGCTCTAGGGAGGGTGGGGCATGGTATTATGACTAGAAAAGAAAGTGCACCCAAGTTTTATATTTTACTATGAACATTCTCATTCTGGAATTTCTTATAAATATTTTAGGTTAATAATTTAGAAGGGCTTCCCATAACGAGCAACCTCTATAACAAAATCTAGAGGAAAAGCGCCCGCCTGGCCCCCATTAGTACTGTTGTTTACGCTTAGTTGTGGCCACAATGTTTGTCTCTCTTCAAGCATTTGTGTTATATCATTACAGAAACATAGTGCCCAGAAATCTCTCCAAACTGGTGGAGACGCACACTGAGGCGGATACAAAAGCTTGAGGAAGCATGGAGAACAACAACGCTATTGCCACGCAGGGCCCTGACGACGAGGCCAAGATTGAGAACGTGAAGCCCACGGCGGAGGAAGAGTCCCCGGAGAAGGAGAGGAGCAGCCCACCTCGTAGGCGGCCCTACCGCAGGGAGATTCGTCCAGAGGATGGTAGGTTGAACTGGGTTTGGGGTTTCGTTGGCATGTTTTTCACCCACCCCCTTGAAATACTGATCAGTAGGTGGCTGTGATTTGTCTTTCAGTTTCTGTCTGAGCAACGTGGGGAATTATCTGTACAGAAAGGCAAAAATATCTATCTGGGGGGGTTACTTTATATCTGGCTGTGCTTGTTCTGTGATGAAAATTTTTTATACCAGTTCTGCTACTGAATACTGTGAATGATTGCTTTTTCTGAGAAATGAGCACGTCAACAGAGTTATTGGATTGAGAATCAATATTTATCACATAATCTTTATTCTTTTGTACCCTATGTTATGTATATGGAGATTGATATTTTCTTTTTGTGTTGACATGTCACCTTGTGTGCCTAAGCAGCATGTGTGTGCCTTATTTGTCGTTTGTTCCTGTCTTTTTCCACAAGTTTCTGGCAAAACGTTACTGTTTTTATTGTGCTGACTTACCATAAACTGCAATTGTAACATTATCTTGTAATTTTTACCTTTTTTATTTATTTTTCTACAGAAACTGGAAAGTGGGCCATCCGTCGCAAGATCTGGGATCATTTGGAAGAAAATAATCTTGTAAATGCTCCAAGACCTTGCAGTTATCGCATCCCTAACTTTGAGGTAAGTTTTTTTAACGTCTAAGGGGATTTCTAAGCTTGTTTTTTAAAAAACTTTTCAGTAACTGTCACATGTTTTTAGATTCCTTGGACAGTTGGAGGGCGTCACTTGCTAGTCCTACTTCTTTACTTTCCCTCTATCAGAGATGCCAACCAGTACGATTTTATGTATTTTAGTACGATTTTTTGCAGAAAATACGCGAATACGACTTTTCATGAAAAAATACGCATCCTGGAATGCGAAAAATACGAGATTGAGTAAACCTAGCAATGCCAATCGCCCGCTGCGCCTTGTGCCGGAAATCGGCCTCCGCGCGAGGGGTATTTTTTGGGCCGCTCGGAATCAGAAGTGACTCTCTTTTAAGTATAGTTACGGGAAAACTCCTGGACGAAAATAAATGAAACTCGGCAACCAACCAGAGGAAAGGTTAAACTAACGACATGCCAGCGTACAATCCCGAACGATTACTAGAACCGGAGATATTGCCGTGTTTGTGCGAATTTCCTCTGCGGTTCGAAAACTAAGCGGAGCTGCGGGTTGATCGCCGACCACACAAGCGCCCCACATGTCTTCTTTATTGCTGTAAAATTTCAGATCTCTGCGTTTAGTAGATTTTCCGTACCAACTTGAAATTACCACCCACCCATTGATAAAACACTAGATCTAGAAACTTAATCGCGCATTCCAAACGCGAGGTGCCGGCATGCAAGAGGCGTGTGATCGCTAGGCGGCATGTGATTGGCTGCCTATAACCAAATGGGTCACCGATGACTACATCGCGGGTTTTCCCAATAGCGCTTTACTGAGTTTTAGAAGGGGTGATCGCGTCGCGGTAAAAACGATGTCACGCAATTCAACAAATTTCACGCAAATATCAGTCTTTAAGATCCAAAGTAATGAAGACAACGAAAAAGTGATAGTAGAACTAGATTCGGCACTAAAAATCACATGGAGATGCCAAGTTTCATTCATATGCTCCAATTCATTACTGACTTATGAACAGTTTTTCCTCAAAATACATCAAAACATGTCCCACATTTTGGCGATTTTTTCCTATATGAAGGTCCTCCAACATTTTGCAAACAAAAATCCCAATAACTTTTTTATTTATCAATGGATTTTTAAAATTTAAAAACCACAGTTCTTAGAATTTACTCTAGTTTCATTTAAGCCCATTTTTAAGCAATTTGGATGAAAATTTAATTTTTCATTGTCATTGCTAGTAAACCTATCTCAAGTCCCATCTTTTGTCAAAATAGTATCAGTATCGCAGAACTGGAATATTTGAAAACCAAGTCCAAAGTGGTTAGCAAGTTTATTTTTGCCGGTCGCGATCGTGGTATTATATTCGTTCAGCTTCTCCCGGTCTGGAGAGTACGTTTCACTTTCACGCGAATAGGCAGCTATGGCGGCAGGCGGAAGCGTATGTGACACCGAGGCTCGATCGGGAAAATCAAGATCTACTTTCGCTTTCGTTACCATTGAGTAGTTTGCCAGCAGTTGTCTAATAACGCAACTTTTGTAACATGCAGGTTGTGCAGTATAAACGCAAGGTCGCTGTGCAAATAAAATTTAATCAATGCTCAGACTTGCCTCTGTGCTGTCACTTGTGGAAAAAAAAAGAAAAGAAAATACAAGCGTAGTCCGATTTTTAGATTGTCTGGCTCGCCATCGTGACCGGTCACTGAACTGCGCGCATTCGTGTCATAAATAAATGCGGCATCGTGTGAGCAAAGATCGTCTTTGGTGGGAGTAACGGCCTTGCGAAGTATAGGACTACGGAATAGGGGAGGAGATTATTGATTTTTTGGGGGTTTAAGATATGTGATGGCAACACCAGAGGACAAAAACTTGGAAGCACATTTCAAAATTTTGATTAGAGCTTTCTGCAAAGCGCGCGTTGGTGCAGGCCGTGTGCGGAATCGGGACCCTTCAAACTTTGCAAGTCTGTGTTATTGAAATAAAGTGTTCGCCTTTCATTGGATGGGTGATAGTAAATTATACCTAGCCTACAGTGTATGTTGTGGCTTTCTGATCAAGACTTGTAGATTTTCAGTGTCACTACATCTTGCCCTACCACAGCTATTACAACTCTCACAGTGCATGGGTCTACTTGAGTCATTCAAGTTATCGCTTTTCTCTGAGTTTGAGCAATAATTTGAGTCTGTCAGTTCATGATATGAATCATGACACCCAGACTGGTTCTTGGTTGTCGAAATTTTTGTTCTAGGCTCTTCTGAACTCTCAAAGCAGGATTTATTTTTTGCATGATAATGAGAGGAAAATATTAGCGGTATGATAGACTGAAATATTTAAGTCAAACAAGACCCCAGTACGACACTGAACACTGACATGTTGTTGACTGGATACATGTATACTGTACGTGTATGTGCTCCCTTTTTCGAGCTGGTGAGCTAGTAATTTTTTTTCAGGAAATATTGCTGAACCCCTTTAACATTTGACTGTTACTAGTCGGTCGGTCGGTCGTGGGGAATACACATTTTCCCCTGAAAATACACATTTTCATATTTCCCAATACTCATTTCGTAGCAATGACCACGAAAATCCTTTTTTTGCCATAAAGTGTTGGCAATTAGGTGCATTTTGTAGCTTTATCTTCACAGAGCATGGAACTTTTTGAATTTTTGAAATCCATCAATAAACAAAAAAGTTACGGATTTTTTAATCAATTAATTTCTGGTACACTTTTATATAATGAAAAAACCCCAAAATATGGGACGTTCTTTGGTGAGTTTTCAGACAATATTCGTCAGAACTCGCTCATTTCTCGGAGTATTTAAAAGAAACTTGGCAACACAGTACATTTTCTAGTGCAGAATCTAGTCCTGCTTTCAGATTTTTCATAGCTATCCTATTCTTTGAGTTATGAAGACGTTTATGGGTAAAAATGTGGCCGTTTTCAGTGCGTTTTGAGACAAAATTTGTCATAGCTCGCCTATTTCTTGGAATATGTAAATGAAACTTGGCAGTCTAGTACATTTTTTAATGCAGAATCTAGTCATGCAGTCAGATTTTTAATATCTGTCATACTTTTTGAGTTGTAAAGACATTAACAGGTAAAAAAAGTGGCGTTCTTTACAGATTTACAAAGATTATCAGTCATATGTTCTCACAAAGTCATGATATTTGAATGAAACTTGGCAACATAAAAGGTTCCTCTTTGCCAAGCAATGCTCTGGATCAATAATGTTTGTCACAAAAAAGTAAGTAGAGAGCTACTAATAAATCCAGTTCTGTACTAGTAAAAGCATGCATACTTTGTTATAGAGACAATACGATCGTCTCTGTGTATATCCATTGTTGGGCCGTGTCCTATTATGTGGTAGATTAAGATGCGTTCAGATAATATAGGTTACACGTCATGGGAATATTTCGCATGTGTAGGCTACAACTCATACAATAAATGTAACAAATTTACACCCCCCCCCCCCCCCCCCCTTCTCTCTCTTTCTGTCTCTCTCTCGCGCGCGCGCGCACACACACACACATGCACGCGCGCGCACTCACGCACGCACGCACGTGTGAACGATAACAATGTATAAACGGGACTATCTTCCCAGACTGGACTAAATAAGTACCATACTCTTTAATAACAATCTTAATGCCTCACTTTTTCAAACAGAGCACACAGGACGAGTCCAAGTGTGTGCTTTCCCCAGAGGGGGGAATAGGCTTTCATAACGCAAACACAATGCCATACCACTTCTCAAGATGTTTGCTTTTCTATTTCTATTCTTCTGTCATGCAATCAAGCAAATAAAAATGACTACATCTATTGTATTGTGACTAAAATGCAACAAAAACGCAAGTTATCAAGGCCCCCGTTTAGTTTTCAAGTATCCTTCCCCCCCTTTCCATTTCACATAAGCGGGGCCTCGTTTGTAGCGCCCGAGGCGACAGATGGCTGATGACGTCACTCAGTGGAAATTTCCAGGCCGTCGGCCGTTCACCCAGCACGCGCAAATGGCTATGTCGCTTTTTCCCTTAGTTACTCCCACATTTTTAAAGATTACGCCAAAACCGCTAAACACAGAAGCATGAAATTTTAAGGGAATAAAGAAAAATGGTGTACAACGTATCAGTCAGTTTGACAAATCACAGCTCCGAAAAACCTTCAAAGCGCACCACATCAACCACTTTCGCAAACGTTTTCGACTGCTTCTAGTATGGGTACAATGTTGTCAAACTGCATACTACGAGATTGACCTCTTTTCTGATTGGCTGCCAAGTTTCATTCATATCCATCCACGAGAAGCGGCGTGAGAGCGAGTTGAAGACAACAACCTTTGGGCGTTAGTGCATCCCATGAAACACCCTCACTGCGGGGGCCAAAAATCGGCAGAACAAAACGCGCTCGGTGGGCATTGCTACATTTCGGTCTTCTGTTGTTGGCATCTCTGCTCTATTGTTTCCATTTCTTACTTTTTCTCAGCATTAAATTACCATTATTGTGTCGATGTGCTTCTCTTTACTCACACAGATTTCTTAGGGTGTGGTATAAACAGTCTGAAAAAGTAGAGTTCATAGGAGGCTATTGGAATGTCAGGTTATATTCAGTGCTTGTTCTGTGATGAAAATGGTATATTCCAGTTCTGCTGCTGAAAGTTGTGAATGATTGCTTTCTCTGAGAAATGAGCACACAAAGAAGTCTAGGATGTATTGAGTTTTTTTAGTTGGGGTAGTTAAGATAAGATAAGATAAGATACATCTTGGCTAATTGATTTGGTGTTTCACCATGTGTGCACACACACACACAGTTATTGTGATATAGAATCCAGTCTTCATACTCTAAAGTATTGAATAAAGGGGGTGGGGGGTGGACAAGTCATCCCTGTACAAGTAAGAACAAATCTGTTTTACTTATCCTTCGGTGAATACAAGAGATCATGAAATGTGGGTGATATTAGTAAGCTACTGTGGCAATTTTTCCCATTTAGGAACCAACCAGTTTCATTAGAAAAATATAAACCAATGTGCAAAAGTTTTTAAAATGCACAAAATTGAAGTAGCCAACCCGGTACTGGTACTAATACTGAGGGTAATTTGCCGTTTGCAAAAAAAAAAAAAGAAAGTTTCATTCAGATATCTAGATTCTAGATATGTTTCACATGATCGTCGGTCGTGGCAAGCTGGAAAATAGTAAACGGGGGGTGTGGAATAAGGAGCGAGGAGTTCGCAAAAAAATGAAAATTAATTGGGGGGTGAGGCTTATTTGATACCTTAGAGAAGTGAAATGTACGAAAGTTTTGATTTCCCAATCTACAGTTTGCATTTTCTTTTCTCTTTTCTGACATAGGGTGCTGCCACTGCTAACGACAAGCTGCCGACGCTGGATGCCTTCAAGAAGGCGCAGACTGTCAAGGTCAACCCTGACAAGCCTCAGGAGCAGGCCCGCTTCCTAGTGCTGGAGGTAAGCATGGTTGTGGGACAGTTTGCCTTCAGAAGCTGAACCGCAAATTTTTTATTGTGGCAGACTTTTATGGGTAGCACTGGGTTATTTAACACTTTGCCATCACAAAGCTTATGATAGCTTAGTAACAACCCTGCTATCAAAGGCAAAGGCATTTTAGGGAAAATCCAAAGAACCCGGGGGGGGGGGGTAAACATCAAGATGGGTGAGATATGACGACAAAGTTTTCAAAGATTTCATATTTAGTAGATTATTTCCTCAATTATGTGATGTAGCAATGACAATGAAAAATTAAATTTTCATCCAAATTGCTTAAAAATGGACTTAAATGAAAATAAAGTAAATTCTAAGAACTATGGTTTTAAAAAATTAAAAATCCATTGATAAATAAAAAAGTTATTGGGATTTTTGTTTGCAAAATGTTGGAGGACCTTCATATAGGAAAAAATCGCCAAAATGTGGGACATGTTTTGATGTATTTTGAGGAAAAACTGTTCATAAGTCAGTAATGAATTGGAGCATATGAATGAAACTTGGCAACTCCATGTGATTTTTAGTGCCGAATCTAGTTCTGCTATCACTTTTTCGATGTCTTCATTACTTTGGATCCTAAAGACTGATATTTGCGTGAAATTTGTTGAATTGCGTGACATCGTTTTTACCGCGACGCGATCACCCCTTCTAAAACTCAGTAAAGCGCTATCGGGAAAACCCGCGATGTAGTCATCGGTGACCCATTTGGTTATAGGCAGCCAATCACATGCCGCCTAGCGATCACGCGCCTCTTGCGTGCCGGCACCTCGCGTTTGGAATGTGCTATCAAGTTTCTAGATCTAGGGTTTTATCAATGGGTGGGTGGTAATTTTAAGTTGGTACGGAAAATCTACTAAACGCAGAGATCTGAAATTTTACATAGACCTGCATGTTTGCCGACAATCGTCTGAATTCCGACAATTGTGACCCGACCCGTGAGCGTGCCGATGCTATCGCTAGGCCCACCTATATCAGTCAACGTGCATTGTGCGAGGCCTGGCCGGCTCCCATCGCCCCCTTTTTCTCCCGTCGGCACTTTCGTTTTCGTGCCGACGTCGGCGTTTCCGACATAATTGTCGGAACCTGAGTAGAAATGCGAATGCGAAAAAGGACGACGACCTAAATAAATTATCTACTTTCAGTTTCGTGCTCAAGCGGCCATTTTGAATTTCGTTTGATGACTAATTCAATTGTTCAGAATCAGATCGTGTGGATTCATTCTTGTTCCGACTTGCTTGTTCTAATAGAATCTAGATTTCTAGATCTAGATTTAGATTTATATAGATCAGTATAGATCTAGATCTCAATGGAGAATTCATTTCCAATTCTATTGTGTCAAACCCTATCAAAGGTTGTGCTGTAATATTAATGTTGGTAAAAAGCATTTCATCAGGTGCGTGAATTATTTATTTATTTAAATTAAGAATCTAGATCTAGATCTAGGTTTTGTAGATCTAGATCTAGACTCAGCCTTAGCTGAGTCCCTCTGTTCGGAATCGGATGCGGATTTCTAGTTGCCTATTCCTATTCACTTGTTCTACAAGATCTAGATCTAATCTAGAGATTTGTTTAGATTACTAGATCTAGATCTATATTAGACTAGATCTAGATCTATATGGAGGATTCATATATTCCAATTCTTTTTTATGTATTATTATTGTATCAAACCCTATTATTATAGCAATGTAGATATAGGCCATATTATGCTCCTTGTTTGTTTTGGAGTGTGGTTTTTTAATTTTTAAATTTTTGGACTTGTGCTGGCCTTTTTACATGAGGCCCGTTGTTGTAGGTTCTTTTTTGGGGTAGGCCAAGGGGTAGGGTTAGGACTCTTCTTTATTGTGTTTGTTTGGGTGGTCGCTCGTTACTCGGAAGTCCTTCCTATGACACCCACAATAAGCTCTTGAGGGGGGGGGGCGCAAAATTTTCAGACAATCTGGTTGAGGCTCACATGCAGGTCTATTTTACAGCAATAAAGAAGACATGTGGGGCGCTTGTGTGGTCGGCGATCAACCCGCAGCTCCGCTTAGTTTTCGAACCGCAGAGGAAATTCGCACAAACACGGCAATATCTCCGGTTCTAGTAATCGTTCGGGATTGTACGCTGGCATGTCGTTAGTTTAACCTTTCCTCTGGTTGGTTGCCGAGTTTCATTTATTTTCGTCCAGGAGTTTTCCCGTAACTAAACTTAGAAGAGAGTCACTTCTGATTCCGAGCGGCCCAAAAAATACCCCTCGCGCGGAGGCCGATTTCCGGCACAAGGCGCAGCGGGCAATTGGCATTGCTATGTGATGTAATGACAATTTTTAAAACATGTAATGACCCTTTGTTTGACATATCTAGATGGGGGGGGGGGGGGGGGGGTTAGTGTTTTGTGTATTATTGTAACTATGTTGGACTTCAGTTTATGAGGGAACTTAACTTTTTTAAATGTTACATTGTTCTTATTGTGAATGTAAATGTCCTTGTCAGGCTTTGTTTTAGAAATGTTGTATACCGTGTAATGGTAATGGTCATTCTGTGCTGCAGAGAAGAGCAAAAACATAGGAGAGGGTAGGCCTACTTGAAGTTGAAATTTTGGACCAGGAAGAATTTTCATGAAACACGTTTCATTGTTGTATGGTAGTTCTCGGTTTTCCTGTCGACCTAAGGCACACAATTAAATGCTTAGTTTTGAAATACTGGAAAGATGCGTTAAAAGTTTTGGGTTGCTTTTGTTTTAGTAAGAGTTTTGGGGTGCATTGATTTAGTCAATTGTATGCTGGGAATCAGTCATTGCCGTTCTTTGCAATGGACACGCTTCTATGAATGACATTATTCTTCAGTTTTTGTATCAACTGTTTTTCTTTTGTTTATTTCAGGCTGAGAAAGAACTTGTTCTTCTCAATCAGGTACTTAGACCCTTTTTTAAATTTCCATTTTTGTGTGGCTTGTTGAGAAAAACGCTTTTTTAATGCTTGCTACTGATTTGGCTTCACGAGACTTTGCTTTTTGTCCTCTACATATTTAAGGCAGAACAAGTAAATTGTCAAGTTGTTGCTTGCCTTTGATGTCGCATTAAATGACCATTATCACATCTGTAAAGTCTAAAGGGTTTTTACTTTGATAGAACTTTAAGAGAACTTTAGACATTTAAATAATCTTCAGTGCAGATCTAAAGGGTTTTGCTTTTATTTTGATCGTTCTGGGGTTTGATTTGTCTTTGTATTTTGAACTTCTTATTGTGGAAGTGAGAATTTTTGAAGGAACTTTGTTTCCATGGTATGTAACTTATCATGAGTGGTGTGAAAATGAATATGTATTCGCAATATTTATTTGACTTATCATAAATCACTTGAAAATACTAGTTTAAATTGCAATATAATATGTGTGCCACTTGTAGTGAATGATGTGAAAATACTGGGCATTTATTTGCAATATACACATTGACTTGCGATGGTCTTCTACTGGGGTACTGGAGACTTCTTTTCCCGTAATTTTTTTTTAAAATAATTTTTTTTTAGGGAGAACTTATTGGTGGAAGAATGGTTGGCAGGTCTGCTGAAAGACAATTGTGCTTAGGTGTTGTTTGATTTTAAGAAAACAACTTTTAGCTACGATTTCTGGTCAACTAAGGAAATTTGATGTTTTTCGCAGAGCCAGAGAAATTTGTTGGTGCCGACCCCTCAGCTGCGTACGGGTCTGCTGAACCGTATTGTCCCTCCTGAAGATTCGAACAAGGAGCAACTGAGACATTGCTGTACTTCTCAGGTAATGTGCTTTCATTTATGTACTTTGTGTGTGTGGGTAACTTGTTCAGGAGTTTTTTTGGGGGTTTTTTTCTCCTCACCCTGTGTGCTTGTGAGGACTGAGACATTTTTTGATGAATGCTCTTTTTTTCCTATCAAACATCTGTTGTCCTTTTTTGTGTTTGTCACTCTTGTAACACCTCTTATCTTTGGCACTTATATGACCTTATTATGTTGCAAGTGCCGTAAAACTCTTACTACAACAAAACATATCTCTTCCCTTGTCTTACTTTGTATGGTACTCTCTCGTCACACCTCTTATCTTATGCACTTTATACGTGACCTTATTATGTTTCAAGTGTCGTAAAACTGCTAGCTAAACCTAAACCAGTACTGAGAGAGCTCTGTTGTATGTTAAGGAAAATTAAACGTGTCCCTTTTTCCTCTGTCTCCCCAGGGCGTGAAGGAGAACAGTAAAGAGATTGGTCTGGAGGACAAGGTCAAGATAGATCTGGTTGTGGTGGGCAGCGTGGCCGTGTCCAGGAACGGTAAGTGCTTGGATCCCGCCCGGTTTTGTTTGTTGTCGGTTGTTGGTTTTTTTTTGGGGTGTGGGGGGGTTGTTGTATTTTTAACTGACATTTTGAGGTGTGTGGTGGACAGGCTTAGGGAGCAAGAGATTCAGTAATAATTTCTCAGTTGCCCCTGTCTGTGACCCTGAGGTGCTCCTTCCTTCCTGTAACTTTAGTTTCTGAGGTTGTGGGTGGTTGGCACTCTGGTGGGATTTGCTCCTTTCCACAACCAACGTTCAGGTTCCTTATATGGGTGGTTGACGAGTGTTCTGGTGTGGTTTGCTTCTTCTTTCCTATCAAACATCTATCGTCCTTATCTCCCATTCTTCTTTTTTATGTTTGTTACTCTCTTGTAACACTTCTAATCTTCTGGCGCTCTTAGACCTTATGCAATTGCGAGTGCTGTAAAACCTCTACTGAAAAAAGGGGTCTTTATATCTCCTCCTCCTTTTCTTTGTATGTTACTCTCTAGCAACACCTCAAATCTTCAGCACTAATCTGACCTATCTTTCTCGCAAGTGTGGTAAAACTTTCACTAAAACGTACAAGTGCCAAGATTTTTGTGGCTTTAGATGCTGCTTGTTGTGGGGTTCTAAAATGTTGAAAGTGTGAACAGTTGGGTCCTTTCATGGCCAGCTGCTCCGTGCGATTTAGTTTCATCATTGGGGGAGGGGGGGGTGCATTTACTTTGTCATTGCTTGCTGTTTGTTAATGGTATGTTATTTGCTGAAAACTTATTTCTCCTTTATATGATAAGAAATAAATATGAGGTTGATTTTTTCTTCTCTAGGATATCGAATTGGCAAGGGCAAGGGCTTTGCTGATTTGGAATATGCCATGATGAGAACCATGGGGGCCATAGACGCTAATACCCTCGTGGTGACCACAGTTCACGATTCGCAAGTTGTGGATATTCCGGAAGAGTTGGTGAGTCTAAGATATGAAGAAGAAGCTGTTGAAAGTAGTATTGATTTTGATGATAGAAATGCAAGTGATGTGGAGGGGAGGTTCTTGTTGAGACAATAGATACAGAGATGAAAGTTGAATTTAGTCTCCTAAGCCAGATACTTCAAGAAGGCTCTATAATGTGTGGGTGATAGATGAAGATGTGAGAGTGGGTCAAAATGTGGTACAACTTAACCTCTGGCCTTTATCTGCTACTCAGGTGGAGGAGCATGATATTACGGTGGACTTCATCCTGACCCCAACGGAACTCATTGAGACGGGCTGCAAGAGGCCCAAGCCTGAAGGAGTCATCTGGAGCCATCTAGATGTCAACAAGTTCTATCAGGTGTGTGTGTGTGTGATCTTTTTGTCAGAGTGCTTCTTCGAAGCCGGGGCCTAAGTGCTCCAAATCAAAAAGTAAAAATTCATAATGGCGGTCCTGCAATGGAATGCCGGCGGAATCCGACCTTCCATTGCAGAATTGCAACATTTACAGGCCACACTGTGCCCACGGGTGGCCTGTATTCAAGAAACAAAATTCGCCCCGGCTTCAACCATAGACCTAAGAGGATTTACTGCGTACCATCACATTCACACGGAGAACCAGATTGCTTCCGGTGGTACCACCATCTACACCGACAACCACACACTCCACAGACAAGTACATCTTAAGACGACCCTCCAGGCTATTGCCGTACGGGTCACCCTGCACAGACCAATCACGATCTGCTCAGTTTACATCCCACCAACTTACCCCCTCAAAATAACCCAACTAAATTACTTAAAATCTCAGCTCCCAAAACCTTTTATTTTGCTAGGTGAATTCAATGCCCACAGCCCCCTTTGGGGAGACAAACCTATAGACCAGAAAGGAAAAATAATAGAAAACTTTTTATTTCAAAATAACATCTGTCTCTTAAATGATAAATCCCCAACTTACAGAAACAGAGCCACTTATGGCAGTTCATCCCTTGACCTCACCTTTTGTACCCCTGACCTAGTCCCAGATCTTGAGTGGTCTGTGGTGGATGACCGTACGGACCATTTCCCAATTCTCCTAAAAAACAATAGCCTCCAAAACGACCCGATCCCAGAACGCTTCAACTTCAAAAAAGCCGACTGGGACGGGTTTGCCAATCAATGTTCCAAGATTCTTAATCCCAATTTTGACCACAACTACAATAAATTCCACGAAAAGCTCTTAGAAATATGCCACAATCACATTCCAAAAACAAAAACAAAACCCCGGAGGAACAAGATCTGGTTCTCTTGGGAATGTGAGGACGCAATAAAGAAAAAGAAGGCAGCGTATCGAAGAGCCGTCAACAACACCACCATAGAAAACAAGATAATTTATTTAAAGGCTCGAGCTGAGGCACGTAGATGCCTCAGGGAGAGCAAAAGACAATCATTCCAAAAATACATCTCCAAAATCAACAGCCAGACACCACTCAATCAAGTTTTCCAAATTGCTAAAAAATTCTTAGGTAGACGCACAGACACCATTCGGCACGTCCAGAGGCCGGATGGAACAACAGCTGAAACACAAGTAGACATTGCAAACACAATAGCTACATCTCTAGCCAAAAACTCATCCCAAGCAAACTACAACACCACTTTTCAAAACGTCAAAACTAACAGAGAAAAACACCTAAACTTCCACTCAAACAACACTGAAACCTACAACGCAGACTTCACAATAGACGAATTAACATCGTGCATCTCGGACCTGGGCGATACAGCCCCGGGACCGGATGACATCCACAACAAGATCATTAGACACTTACCCTCAGAAACACTCACACTTCTATTATACATATACAACGACATGTGGCGGTCGCACTCCTTTCCGGAGTCTTGGCGTCTCGCCACTGTCATTCCAATACCCAAACCTAACAAAGACCACACACACCCATCCAATTACAGACCTATAGCCCTAACGAGCTGTCTCTGCAAACTGATTGAAAAAATGATTCACAGGCGACTCATGTGGTTTCTGGAAACGACGGGCTCGCTGAGCGGTCTCCAGTGCGGATTCAGGAAAACTCGATCCACTCTGGATCACCTGGTCCGCCTGGAGACCTTTATACGCGAGACGTTCGCTGAAAGAGGCCACATGATCACCATCTTTTTTGACCTTGAAAAAGCCTTCGACACAACCTGGAAGTACGGCATTCTTCGAGACCTGCACGCACTCGGCATACGAGGTCACCTCCCTGCCTTCATTGGCAACTTCCTGAAGAACCGTTCCTTCCAGGTTCGTGTCGGATCCTCCCTTTCAGACCCCCACCAACAGGAGGAAGGAGTCCCCCAGGGGAGCATCCTTTCTCCTCTCCTATTTGAAATTAAAATAAACTCCATAGTGAAAACCCTCCAGAACAGCATAGACAGCTCGTTATACGTTGACGACTTCTTGATATGCTGCCGATCGAAAAATCCTCATTTGAGATCTATGGAAAGGCAGCTGCAAACGCAGCTGCAAAAACTTGAAACGTGGGCAAACAACAACGGTTTCAAGTTCTCCCCGTCAAAGACGGTTGCAGTACACTTCTGCCGAACAGGCAGACGTGTGCTGCAGCCGGATTTGACACTATACGGGGAAAGGATTCCCGTCCAGGACCAAGCTCGTTTCCTCGACGTCATTTTAGACAAAAAACTTACATTCATACCACACATCAAAGACCTTCGTGTGAGGTGCCAGAAAGCGTTAAACGCTTTGAAAATTCTATCAAATCCGGAGTGGGGCGGGGACTCAAAACACCTTCTCCACTTGTACATCTCCCTTGTCCGGTCCAGGCTTGACTACGGCTGTCAAGTCTACGGATCGGCAAAACCACACGTCTTAAAAATACTAGATCCAATACAGAACCAAGGACTCCGCCTCGCTCTGGGGGCTTTCCGCACTTCTCCGGTGGAGAGCCTCCAGGCCGAGGCCAACATTCCACCACTCTCACTCAGACGCACACAACTCTCACTACAATACGCAGTTAAACAGAGCTCAACACCGGAAAATCCAGCGCACAACAGCATTTTTCAAACAAATCCAGAAACCAGAAACAGATTCCAAAACAACGAAAAACTCATCAAACCTTTCGGCCTCAGAATCCTTGAGGACCTCAAAAACTTACACTTTTCCAAACAAGACATCCAACAAATTCTTTTCCCCGACCTCCCTCCGTGGCACCTCACCAAGGCAAAAGTAGATTTACAGCTGACCACACACAACAAAGAAAGCACAAACACCAAAACTTTTCAAGCAGAATACAAAAAACTAATAGATAAATACCCCGGTGCGGAGCTCATCTTCACGGATGGCTCCAAAAAAGACAATGAAGTGGGCGCCGCAGCCCTATCTCCCAACAATACACACCAGAGGAGACTCCATCCTGAAGCCTCCATTTTCACTGCAGAGGCCACTGCCATTGACATGGCACTGGACTCTGTAGAAAATTCCCCTAACAAATCTTTCCTTATCCTTTCTGACTCTCTGTCTTGCATCACCTCACTCACAAACTACACACTCCTACACCCAAAAATAGTTAGGCTACAACAGAAAATCCATACACTATCCGAAACAGGAATAAACATCATGTTCGCTTGGATACCCAGCCATGTGGGCATCCGAGGAAACGAGCAGGTAGACGACCTGGCGAAGAAAGCTTCATCCCTTCTGCTGGGATCAACGACAAACACTCTCCCACAGACTGACTTTAGAAATAAAGTAAAAAAGTACACCTCCAGTCTGTGGGAGAGCCACTGGGAAAACCAGAAAAATAATAAATTATATGAAATTAAACCCAAACTAGAACAGCGAAATCCTTCGGATCTCTCCAGAAGAGACGAAGTCATTTTTACTCGATTGCGCATCGGACACACGGGGCCCTGACCCACAAATACCTCCTACAGGGAGATGAGAAGCCGTTCTGGGTCGGATGCGACACAGATTTTACCATTAGACACATTTTAACAGAATGTCTAGACTTTGGAGAGATCCGAAGGAAATATTATAAATGCAAGAAATTGCAGGATATTTTTTCCGTCGTTGTTCCCAGCAGAATTTTAAATTTTATAAAGGCCATTGGCCTTTATGGCGAGTTGTAGAGTGAATTTGATATTATTAAAATTTTTTATTGTTACTTAAAAGTTGTTTTAGATCACAAATGTATTTACACCGAATTTGAATATTTTAACTTTTTAGCATTTTAAAGTAAATTAGTTACTAGTCGTGAAGTGAACTTTAGCAGAGATGAACAACTTGTGTTTCGCGCGCTCATACGACCTTAGCAGTTGCGAGCGCCGTAAAACCTTATACTATACGTACATACAGACATATTCAGTTATGTTACATTCTTCCTTTCTTCGTTTTCCCAGCTGTAAATGGTTCTTATTGTGTTAGTGTGCCTGTCATTTGCTCCAACTCAACACTGGCGGGTGCTCTGGTGTGGTCTGCTTCTTCGTCCCTATTAAACATCTACCGTCTTTATCTCCCCTCCTTTTTTGTGTTTGTTACTCCCTTGTAACACCTCTAATCTTCTGGCGCACGTATGACCTCATGCAGTTGCGAGCGCCATAAAACCTCTACTAAAACTAGACTAAAATGACTCAACACAGTCATTAGGGGCATTTGTTTTGTTTTCGAGGGGGGGGGGGGTTATTTTTTAACCTTTCTCTGTGGTATTTAGGTGTGTTGTGGACTATTGACGATCTTTCCTTCTATCCATCCTGTGTTTGCTGTTTGGTCCAGTTTTGTCTTTGGTTGTAGGTGGAGGGCACAAGTAGAACCTACGATCTCTCCTTTTTTGGGTGGCAGGTGCTCTAGTGTGGTTTGCTCCTTCTTTCCTATCAAATATCTATCTTCCTTATCTCTCCTCCTTTTTTGTGTATGTTACTCTCTTGTAACACATCTATTCTTCAGCACTTTTATGACCTTATTAGGTTGCAAGTGCCATAAAACTCTTACTAAAACTAAGGAAAATTTTTTTTTCTCAGATCCCAGTGTTGAGGCAGTTGCGTGACATTGAGCGCGAGGCCGGCAAGAACGTGATGCTGAAGGGACAGGAGAACGAGGAGGAGGATCCCCTGGATAACGAAGAGCCCCCAAGGCCACGTCGGTTCCGGCGCTTCGGCGGTGGAGGTAGCGGCTTCAGGGGTCGTGGAAGGCCCTTCAGGTGAGATTGGTGGTGGTGGTGGGTCATCTATCCTTGTGAGACTTTAGTGAGTGGGTGGTTGGGGGTTGCTCTGGTGTGGTTTTCTTCTTCTTTCCTATGAAACACCTTCTTTCTTTCTTTTTTTTTTTTTTTTTTTTTCCCTCTTACTCTCTTGTAACACCTCTAATCTTCTGACGCTCATATGACCGTGTGAGGTTGCTAGCGCCATAAAACCTCTACTAAAACTAAGGCTGTTCTGTCCAATTCCTTTACCCAAAAAAAATTCATTACTTTTTGTCTGAAGGTTGTTTGGTCATCCTTCGTCTTTTTTGTTTTGTTATTATTACTCTTGTAAGACTTTTAATCTTTAGCACCTTTATGACCGTATTGCGTTTCAAGTGCTGTAAAATCGAACTAAGGACAAAAACGAAATCATCAGTCTTCTTTTCATTGATTATTGTGGGTGCTCTGGTCTGGTTTGCTCCTTTTCTGTCATTGTAACACCTCTAATCATGGGCATTTATATGACCTTTTTGTGTTGCAAGTGTCGTAAAACTCTTACTAAAACTGAAGCTTACTGAAACAAAGCAGACTTGACTATTAAATAAATGAAATGTTCATTCTGTTGTCTTCAGGGGTTACAGACGAGGTGGCGGCAGACGCAGGAACACAGATGGGGGCGACGATAGCAACAAGGAGAACGCCGAGACTGGCGATGAGTCCGGGGCTGATGGCGAAGAGGGACGCGGTGGACGCCGCAGGAACTTCCGCAACAGACGCTACCGTCGTGGCGGGAAGAGGGTGTCCGAGTCTGAGCTCACCGACGATGGTGGCGAAGCGGGACAGGGCGACGGGGACGATAAGCCACATCAGCGCAGGTTGGTTTCAGGATGTTTGGTGCTCAGTTGGTGGGTGCTCTGGTGTGGTTTACTCCTTCTTTCCTGTCAAACATCTATCGTCCTCATCTCTCCTTTTCTCTGTATATAACTCTCAAGTAGTATCACCTAAAGTAGTATCACCTAATCTTTGATACTTGTATGACCCAATTGTGTTGCAAGTGCTATAAAACTTACTCAAACAAAATGATCCTCAATGTCTGTTGGGTTGTTGACGGGCAGTGGGTGGCTATTCCTCCTCCTTTCTATTTGCTTTTCTCTCTGTGAGTAGATGTAAATAGTGGGTGGTTGGCGGATGCTCTGGTGTGGTTTGCTCCTTCTTTCCTATCAAACGTCTTTCGTCCTATCTCCCCTTCTTCTTTTTTATGTTTGTTACTCTCTTGTAGCACCTCGAATCTTCTGGCGCTCATATGACCTTATGCAATTGCGAGGGCCGCAAAACCTCTACTAAAACAAACAAGATGTAGATAGGCTCTCTTGTGGAAGGATTTATTGTCGATAGTGCCTTAAAACATACACTTTAAAAAAATATATAAATTTGTTCTCTATTCCTGTGTGTGGTGCTTTGGTGTGGTTTGTTCCTTCTTTCCTACCAGATGTGAGTTAGCGCAGTGGAACCAGGGGCTCTTCTAATTTTAGAGAATTGAGAAATTAGTATTTTACTGACCTAATTGTGTTGCAAATGCTGTAAAAATTTATTAAACCAAGAAAAACCAAACCTGTTCTTATTTCTTCTTATCTGCTTTGTTTGAACCAGGTTCCAGAACAGAAGACGATTCCCACGCAGACGTCGCTTTGAGGGAGGTCGTGGAGGTCGCGACAACCGAGGAGGGGGGGATCACTCTGGCAGTGACGGGGAGCAGAAGACGTCTGGCGACGAGGATGGAGAACGCCGCCGCCCCCAGAGGCCTAGATTCCGCACCAACCCCGAGGCTGTGGTGTTTGTGGGCGCGCTGTCTCGCCGTCTGCGCGTGAGCGAGCTCAAGACGGAGCTGCGCAGCCAGAACGTGAACCCTCTGCGTCTGGTGTGGCACGGGGGCCGCGGCTTTGCCTTCTTGCACTTCCAGACGGTGGACTCGGCCAAGGAGGCTGTCGACACTCTGACGGGCAAAGAGCTGGACGGGAGAGAAATTAAGGTGAGTTTTTTTTCACTGGTATTTATGAGCTAACCGAGTGGTTGGTGGGTGCTCTGGTGTGATTTGCACCCTTTGCCCCCCACCCCACCCCCGCCAAACTTCTCTCTTCCTTATCTCTCCTCCTTCTTTTCTTTGTATGTTACACCGTAATAATGCCTCTAGTCTTTTGGCCCTTGTATGACCTAATTATGTTGCTAGTGCTGTAAAACTCTTACGAGAACTAAATGAACTGACTTTTGGGGTTCAGGTACAGCAGAATCTGTCGAAAATGGCAGAGAAAAGCTGACCGCGATGGACAAGCGGCCTGCGTTATGGTCACATACTAGACTTGACAAAGTCAACGTATAATTTAAAATCTGAAATCATAATTTATTACCATTAAAATTGCTCCTTTTTTCTTATCAAATATGTCGTCCTTATCCCTCATCTTCCTTTTTTGTGTCTGTTTCTTGTAACACCTCTCTAATCTTTGGCACTTATATGACCTTATTGTGTCACAAGTGCTGTAAAGCTCTTTCTAAAGCTAAAATATGTTTTGATTGGCGGCATTTTGTTGATACCCCAATTAGATTTTGAGGGGACAGGAATTTGAATTAAGCCACAAGTGGTTTGTGTCAAAGGAAGTGTTGTATTGCACTGTGTTGTTGGGATCAGCTTCCTGAATGGCTGGTATGTCGTGTTTGTTTCTGCAGGTGGAGATGGCGAACAACGACCGACCCCCTCGTCGTCGCGCCGGGGACTCGCGGGGAGACAAGGCCGACAGTTCCGCTGCCGAGGCCGTTGAGGCTGGGGACAGGTGAGCGGCGGGTGGTTGGCGGCTGCTCTGCTGTGGTTGGCTCCTTCTTTTCTATCAAGCGTCTGTCGTCCTACTCCCCCTTTTTTCTTTTGTGTGTTTTGTTACGCTCTTGTAACATTTTAATCTTATCGGCACTGATTGTAGCACCTCTAATCTTCTCAGCACTTATATGACCTTATTGTGTTACTACTATTGCTGTAAAACACTTAATAAAAAGGCGCATAAAACAGAGTTGCCAGTTTTGCGGCTAAGTCCAGCTTTTTAAAATCCTCCAGCCGAGATTGGCGGAGCCGGGACAATTTTTCCTGCCTGGTCGGCAAATTGTAACCCGACACTGGCTAGGCCTGAAGGAAGACCAGAACGGGTCGTTGGAACTCTGAAGCGTTTCCGGATGGGGCTAAGCATTATTCGTTAAAAAAAACAACAACCCGAATAAATAGGTGCCTAGTATTTTTTAAATTAGAATAAACAAAGCGAGAAACTAGGTACCTAGTATTGAAACAGGTTCTTAGTGAGAAACTAGGTACCTAGTATTGAAACAGGTTCTAAGTGAGAAACTAGGTACCTAGTATTGAAACAGGTTCTTAGTGAGAAACTAGGTACCTAGTATTGAAACAGGTTCTTAGTGAGAAACTAGGTACCTAGTATTGAAACAGGTTCTTAGTGAGAAACTAGGTACCTAGTATTGAAACAGGTTCTAAGTGAGAAACTAGGTACCTAGTATTGAAACAGGTTCTAAGTGAGAAACTAGGTACCTAGTATTGAAACAGGTTCTTAGTGAGAAACTAGGTACCTAGTATTGAAACAGGTTCTTAGTGAGAAACTAGGTACCTAGTATTGAAACAGGTTCTTAGTTAACAACTGAGTACCTAGTATTGAAACAGGTTCTTAGTTAACAACTGAGTACCTAGTATTGAAACAGGTTCTTAGTTAACAACTGAGTACCTAGTATTGAAACAGGTTCTTAGTTAACAACTGAGTACTTTGTTTTACACCAGAAACACCTGTCATTTGTTTACAGCCATACCTTCCCCCATACCTTCCCCCATCCATTACACACATCAATATGCAGTCATTGACCAGTTTGTTTGTTTTTTAAATAGTTTTTCTAATTGGCCTAGGCCAGTGTATTAAATATTTTGGCACATGCTAATATCTTATGTTTTTAATGAAATGCCACGCATATAATTTTAAACGGAAAAATGTTCAGTCTTTTTTGTCAGAACTGGCAACCCTGATCAAATATCAGGATGGAAGATAAAGTGATTCTAGATTGTCCTTATTGTTTGAGGAATCGCCTGTTGTCACCACTCAGTACATATTTCTCAATAGATTGTTTGCTTTTGCTCGTCAAAGATTGGATCACTGGTGGAACAGAGACTTCTTGGTTTGCTCATATTTGGTGCTGTGTTTTACATATAATTGGCAATATACATCTCCCTTTCTTTTTATGTTTGTTTTTCTCTTGTAACACCTCTAATCTTCTGGCGCTCATATGACATAGCTGCCACTTTCCCGCTAAATAGCGGAAACTCCGCTACATCTAGCTTTTCCCGCAACTTTCCTCCTTCCTCTGCTGGACCGCTCTTGGTCGCAAATTTCATACTTTTTTCCCCCGCGGAAAACACCGACCCGGGAGAGAGACGAAAACGCGGTTTGCGCATGTCCGCCCGTAGCTTTCTACTTCCGTTCTTCTAGGCCCAGCGCTAGTTTCACATTGTTTATTGTTGTGGAGCAACACAGTGTCGATCGGGCATCGGGACGTTAGCGCGCCGAGTTGTCATTGAAATTGGCGGAAATTCGAGAGAAATTGATTCAGAATGCAAAAATAAAAGGAGCTAGAATGAGAAAGAAGCAGCCGATGTGCGACTTGAAAAGTTCATTAGAAAATTGAACTAGATGTCTAGATCTAGCCGTTTTTTGCGAAAGAAATCGCGGCCCGCGGCACTCCTGTACAATTACAATTGCGGTCCCGTTTGTTTACATGACGGCTATTGGGGCTGCTGCGGAAGTGAATCTAGATCTAGATCTAGAAAATCTGTCTCTAGATCTAGATATAATCTAGATCTACACATATTGGCGCTTTTTCGGTAGTTCCCACCCCGCATTTGTTATTCGCTGGTTTTGGCCCCAAGAGTAGGGGGGTTTCAGGGGGGCTTGCCCCCCTGACATAATAAAAACAAGGTGGGGGGTTTCAGGGGGGGCATGCCCCCCTGAATTTTACCACAATTTAATGTTTTGCAGTTGTTAGGTTTGACATCTTAGCTTGCCGCGAATCAAACGTATATAGATCTAGATGTAGGTCAGGCTCTATCAAATAAGGGGGGTGGGAACTACCGAAAAAGCGCCCATATATTTAGATATCTAGATCTAGATTAGATAGCCTAGGCTAGGCTATAATTTTAATTCAGTTTAGTTCTCTGAATAAGAAACACACTACAGGGGCACTAGGTGCAAACGGGACCGCAATTGTACAGGAGTGCCTGCATCCTTGATCCGATACTGCTCTACGTCTATGTATGTACAAGTTTAAAGAGAAAGAAATCTTTTTATAAGACACCAGCTGGCAAAAAATCACTGGATTTTTAGTCACCAAGTCCAAACTGTCAAATTGACTCGAATGCTTGTTAGTCAACTTACTGCCTTTATGTTTGTTTGTTGTTGTTTTTTTCAAATACATTTTAATTCAGTTGCCTATGGTTAACAATATGACAGTTTCCCTTCCAAAACCATAGGCTAGATTTTCCAGTATATATTGCCTCTGGATCTCACTGGTTTCGGAGAGCGCGCGTACGCCTTCGCGTGAATTTCCTCCTTTTTTAAAATTTCTGAGTGGCAGCTATGATATGACCTTATGCAGTTGCGAGCGTCGTAAAACCTAAAAAGCACAGCAAGAAATAGAGTTGAACCTGTACAAATGTCCTGTTCCCATTTCCTCTCTTGTATACTTGTTACATAACAATGACACTGTGTAAGAAGACCACTTTTCTCCTCCATGATGGTAGGCTGTCCTAGACAGTTGTGGCTGTATTGTCTGCCTACCCATGATGATTCGCGATTTGTGGGTGGTTGGCGGGTGGTCAGGTGGGGATAGCTCCTTATATTCCCAATCAAACATTAATTATCTTAATCTCTCCTCTTTTTTTTCTTTGTATGCTGCTTTGTAGTAACACTTCTAATCTCCAGCGTGGGTGGTTGACGGGTGCTCTTGTGTGGTTTGCTCCTTCTTTCCTACCAAACATCTATCGTTCTGATCTCTCCACCTTTTTTTGTGTTTGTTACTCTCTCGTAACACCTCTAATCTTCGGCACTTATATTTCCTTATTGTGTTGCAAGTGCCGTAAAACTCTTACTAAAACTAATCTTCGGCACCTATGTGGCCTATTGAAAGTAAAAGTGGTTTTGTTTGTGTTGTCTTGTTTTCAGGTAGGAGTAAGCGACAAGAAAGGGATGTCGGGCGGCCTGGGGGCGTCCAGTAGTAGCTAAGCCCAGATCTCGCTGTTTCTTCTTGCTATTTTGTTGTACGAGATGACCAGGCCGCCCCAGGAGTCGTCTGCTCCTGCCCCTGATCCCTCGGCTCCTCCCGCGACCTCAGAGGACCGGAGAATGTTTGCAAGCGACCGACCAATTAGCCATAGACCTACTCGAGTAATGACATGGATATTGGTGGTAGCCTTTCGAGTTGTATTTGTTCGTATATAAAGCTATAAATGACGTATTCATTCAGTGGTTAATTCAGTTGACGTTTTCACTTTTTTTCTTGATGATGACTGTACAAAGAAGAAAAAAAAAGCCAAGAATTTGATTTAACCCTACCCAGCTTTGAGAAAGGATACAAAGATGCCTGAACTCGCCACTACTACTAATCACATTGTTGTCATTTCACCCATTGGCTTGTGAGCCGTCATGTGCATGAAGATTTACCAAGGGCTAATTTGGTAAGGTTGGTGACTTTTTCTCTGCAAGCATCTGGGCAATTCCTGCATACCAGTGAGGTGCAGTCTCGTGCAATTCCCCTCTGGCTTCTGTAGCAGCAAACCCCTGACGGAAAGGCACACACCAGCGACAGGGAGTCTAGCAAAATCTATAATCTACAAGGCAGCAGAATTTTCCTTTATTATATTTTTTCTTCCCCCCTCCTTTCCCCGCGAAATATATAACTAAGGTGGATGCGTAAAGGGAGTGATGAAGATTTGCTATGAGAAGCTCGAGTCGGTATGAATGTCATCACTGCACTTTGCATAGCATTGATTCTGTCACTATCCTACAAGTGCTGTGATGATATTTATTCTCTTGTTTGTTTGTTTTTTGGTTTTTTTTTTTTTTTTTTTTTTTTTTTTTTTTTTTTTTTTTAAATCTTTAAATGGCAGTTGTAGTTTGTGTAACCAATATTGATGCAGCACAGGAAAGATTCCTTATTTAATCTTTTGGTTTTGGGGCATTTAATTCACTGATGGCCAAGTATTTGTTTCAGGTTTCTAATGTAACCTTGTCCGACATAAACAAAAGATTGTTTTGAGAACATGGCAAAGACGACAGGGTATTTCTTCTTTTTTTTTTAACAAATCTACATTGGGTTATTTGACTTTGTAAATGTAATGTAAGAGCATAGATTCAACAATAACAAGAAAAGGTTAGTCCAATTATTTTACCTTGAAAGTTTGGAAATGCATGCTCTGTTGGATTTTTTTTAATGTTTCGGTTAGTCTGGGCTTACAGTAAGAGGATTCTTGAAGGTAACATTTGCTTGTGCCAAACGTTGGCCATCAGAGTGGGTTGGGTTTTTTTTCGGGGGGAGGGGGGTGTTTGTTTTTTTTAAACCTGAAAGGAAACGTGACAAAATGATGGGTTCAGTCTGTTGTTGATATTTCTGACTGATTTCATCTTTTGTACGAACATACGAAAAACAAAAAATTTCGACGTTGGCTATAATGTAACTTCTGTAAAATGTTGGTTGGACTGAACTGCTGTCTCAATAATTTTGGTGTATGCAAGTATTTGATTTTTATATCTCTCTGTATATTATTTATTTACTATTTTGTATTTATGAATTGAAATATTCTAGTGAGTGTGATACATGTTATCTCGTGTGTCATGCGTAATATTTGAGGTATTTATAAGAAAGACAGTTGATGCCTTGTAGATCTTTCTGAAAAGTACAGAGAATTGTCAAGTCAAATCTCATTTCCTTTCAGCTCTATGAATTAATTAAAGTTACCTTGTATAGTTCTATGAGATTACTTGTGCAATTTGTTGATATTTTCCCCAGTGTGCATATCATGTTTTTATTTTTATAGGCCATATTCATTACCTTACTCTTTAGTCCTGGAATTGCAAGATTGCCTTGAATCGCATTGTGAAAGTAATATCTTCTGCATGTGGAAAGCATGCATCATAGAAAAAGAAAGAAGCCCAACATCTTTGCCCTGGAATTTTTTTATTTAATTTTTTTTTCCCGTTTCATCATTTCCTGGCAGTTTTACTGTTTTGCCCCCATAGAATTGCGAGAGACAGGATTTTTTACCATCGCTTCTTCTGGAATCATGAATTTGATTTTGTGAAGAATGGAATTCCTTTTCCTCGATTGTAATTGAAGTCATCTTTGTGAGCAGGGGTTCCGTTATTTTTTTTTTTTTAATTTTGATTTTTGTTCCATCGAGTCCTCATTCTTTGTCATCTCATTTGACTTGTAGCCTAGATGGTGGGAAGCTGAGCTTTTCATTTTTTCGTTTGTTCCTAGAAGACCAAGTACTGTGGTCTCTGTACGGTTTGCACTGTAGCCAGACGGTACAGGGGACTTAAGGCATAGTTTGCTTGAGTAACGTTTTGCTTTGGACATGAGTTTGTTCCTCATCACTTATCACTTGCAGTTGATTTTTGTAGATGGTTTTGTTGTACGTGTATCTCCAACTGTTGTGCACAAACTGTAATATTCTCTGCTGTAAGAGAGAATGGGTTTCTTTTTTTCCCCCATGTATTTGTCCACCCACATGGTTGTAGCAGACTGGCAGACTGTTACGCCGTGCCTGTTGAAGGTTGTTTTGTTTTTTTATTTGAAATTGTTGTTGTTTTGTTTTTTGTTTGTTTTTTGTACTGAATCCCAGTAGATGTGTTCAGCAAGTCTGATAAGTGAAGTTTGTGGTGCGTTTTTCGAAGGGCGGATAGGTGCTTGGCGGTTTTTCACAAAATTTTTTTTTTCTTTATATCCCTCCCCACCCCTCTTGTTTTCTGTCGACTTGGCCATAGCATGAGAAGGTTTTGCTTCCTTCAAGGTAAATCATGGGACTCGTTCCTGATTTCTTCCCCCCAGCCCCCAACTTTTTGTTCTTCTAAAATACCGTACCTGTTTAGAAAATAAATGCAGTCGTCTCCTCTGTAAATGCATTGTTCTCCATCTATTTTTTTAGAACCTAAAAAAAAAAAAAAAAGAGAGAAGAAATAAACTCAGATCATTACATAAAAAAAATCACGAATTAAATTAAAATTAATTAAATTTTATAAATAAAAAAAAAAAGGGGGGGGTCCCCCCCCCCCCCCCCCCCCCCCCAGAGTAAGGGCTAAAGAGACTCCTGATTTGTGCTGTTGGTCCGTCAGACTGGCTGCACCATGTCGCAAATAGAGAGTTTGTCGTCCTCTTACTAAAATCTAGTATCTTCCTGAAGCACTTGTAGCATTAACTTTGGTTTGGTATATATAGATATATTTTATGTTATGGCCATTGCGATAAGATTTTCAAAAATCATTTTTCATCCTTTCTCGTTCTTTCTCTGTGTAGACTACCGGTGTTCTGGTGACAGGATTAGTGGTGTGTAGGAGATAGGGTCAGCGGTGGTGCAGTGTCTTAGCTTGTCCTTCCCCGCTTCCCTGTAGGAGGCTGATTGATCACAGACAAATGACATATAAAGCTTGTATTCAAACACCGTAGATGATAAGGGTATTGCTGAAAACTCTTGTTTCGTAGATATTGTTTCCTAGATATAATAGAACTACTATTAAAAAGAGAACCGATGCTTTCTTTCTCCCCCCAAACCTGTTAAGACTTATCTGAAATGGAATTGTAGTCTGGAGTGTCAGATATGTTCATGAATGCAGCACTTTACATGTATTGTTTGTTGATCGATTAATTAAACTTTGTATTGTTCCATGCCACACACTGTGTTCCTGTTGTATTGTTCCTTGCCACACACTGTGTTCTTGTTGTATTGTTCCATGCCACACACTGTGTTGGTGTTGTATTGTTCCATGCCACACACTGTGTTCCTGTTGTATTGTTCCATGCCACACACTGTGTTCCTGTTGTATTGTTCCATGCCACACACTGTGTTGGTGTTGTATTGTTCCATGCCACACACTGTGTTCCTGTTGTATTGTTCCATGCCACACACTGTGTTCTTGTTGTATTGTTCCATGCCACACACTGTGTTGGTGTTGTATTGTTCCATGCCACACACTGTGTTCCTGTTGTATTGTTCCATGCCACACACTGTGTTCCTGTTGTATTGTTCCATGCCACACACTGTGTTCCTGTTGTATTGTTCCATGCCACACACTGTGTTCCTGTTGTATTGTTCCATGCCACACACTGTGTTCCTGTTCTGTTGGTTTGCTCTTTGTTTGTTCTGTCTGTCTGTGGGTGAGTGATGGGTGCTCTGAATCTGATGTGGTTTGCTCTTTGTTTGTTCTGTCTGTCTGTGGGTGAGTGATGGGTGCTCTGAATCTGATGTGGTTTGCTCTTTCTCACCTATCAAATATCTGTCGTCCTTATCTCCCCTCCTTTTTTGTGTTTGTTGCTCTCTTGTACCACCTCTAATCTTCGGCACTTATATGACCTTCTGTTGCAAGTGCAACTCTTAGTTAAACTTTTTTTTCAAAATCTAATCTTTGGGTTGGGTGGTTTGTGGGTGCTCTGGTATGGTATGCTTCTTTCTTTTCAAACATGATCTATCGTCATTATTTCCCCTCCTTTTTTGTGTTCGTTACATTACTCTCTAGTAACACCTGTAATTATTCTCCTCACGTTCACACCTCGGCGGCTCCTCCATCTCTCTCTCATCTCTTCACACCTCTACTCCATCTCTCTCTCATTTCATCTCTTCACACGTCTACTCCATCTCTCTCTCATCTCTTCTCTTCACACGTCTACTCCATCTCTCTCTCTCTCATCTCTTCACACCTCTACTCCATCTCTCTCTCATCTCATCTCTTCACACGTCTACTCCATCTCTCTCATCTCATCGCGTTCACACCTCGGCTCCATCTCTCTCTCATCTCATCTCTTCACACGTCTACTCCATCTCTCTCTCATCTCATCTCTTCACACCTCTACTCCATCTCTCTCTCATCTCATCTCTTCACACCTCGACTCCATCTCTCTCTCATCTCATCTCTTCACACCTCGACTCCATCTCTCTCTCATCTCATCTCTTCACACCTCGGCTCCTCCATCTCTCTCAGTGGGTGGTTGGCGGGTGCTCTGGTGTGGTCTGCTCCTTTCCTATCGAACATCTATCATCCTTATTTCCCCTTCTTCTTCTTTATGTTTGTTACTCTCTTGTAACACCTCGAATCTTCTGGTGCTCATATGACCGTATGCAGTTGTGAGCGCCGTAAAACCTCTACTAATACTAAATCTCTCTCTCTCTCTCTCTCTCTCTCTCTCTCTCTCTCTCTCTCTCTCTCTCTCTCTCTCTCTCTCTCATCGTGTTCACACCTCGGCTCCTCCATCTTTGAAGCTCATCTCTGTACTGTGACAAAGGCTATCGAGCATAATTTGTTTATCTATTTATTCATTTTCTTTTCTTTTTTTTTTTTGTCTGATGGAAAGTTGAAGCATACTCGAGAACTTGTTCGTAATTTGCTCCTCAAGCGGTTCATTATTTCTCTTTAAAAGCTTCCTCGCAGCTTATCTCTGCTCTGTTCATGTTTGTGGGCTGTGATGACTCACTAGTCCCTGATGTATTCAACACTACTCAGGAACTCCCCCACAATCCATCCAACTGTTTGCTCCATCAATGAATGCCGTCCCGACATGTTGAGACAAAGTAACCAACTGCTAACTGTCAAGAACAAAGAAGCCGACACCATATCATGCCAATGTTTTAAAAAGATAAAGATGGGTCATAATATTTGTACAACCATCGCTTTGTTTCTCGCGTAAATTTAGAAAAGTTTGACACCCGCCCCCTCCCAACCAAAACGGTGTCAAAAAATGATGCACTGTATCAACAAATGTTAGATAATTCGTAGCTAAAAAAAAACAAGGCGAGGACGACTTTTCCGCTGAGAGTCTCCTCAGCACGAAATTGTTAAATGTTAATTGAAGAGTACAGAAGGAACAAGTACATGTATTACTATTACTATTACCCTACAAGTGTTAAGATGGAATCCGAAAGCAAAAAGGAAGGGGGGGGGG